AAAAAAAAAAAAAATAAATAAAAATATAATCGATAATTTATTTTTTATTAATTAAAATTTTAAATGCAATATTAGAATATTATATTAAATTAACCATTTTGATGCGTATACAATAAAAATTAAAAACAACCACATTACAGAACAAACAATTTTATAATATGCATCGGACGAAAACGCAGTGGTGTAATGACGGTGGTCGTGGCGAGGCTTCGGTTTTGGGTTGTAGGTCGTCGCCACTTATCAGATCAGCGGGTTTTAGATAAGGGTATTTAAATAATATATTATAGAGGATACACGGGAAATAGTCAACTATTCGCGAACCGGCGACTCAACTATACGCGCGAAGATTGCTCCTCCGACCATTGTAGTGGTGACGAATATGAACCGTGGTTGTAGGTGAGCATTTGCGTGAATTGTTAAGCCAGGAATTACTCTAGAAATAAATATATATTTTATGTTGTAATCGATGGCCATCCAAAATATCAAAATATTTCCTACGAAATCTAATAATTCATAGTTAACCTATACAATTATGAAATCACGTATGAATATATTATCTATATTACGTCAAGTATAATCGAAAATTACCTACATTAACGCTAACCCTTATTTTTTTTGTGAACCTCAACACAGAGTGTGTTGTCCGAAATTGTAAGTGTACACTACGGATTAGAGAAGTGAGTACATACTAAATACTAATAAATAAGACTACTATGAACGTATTTTTCAGGAAGCCAGTTAATGCAAGACAGTTGATGAGGACTTAAATATATCTATTAAATTTTAAATTATATATCTCACATTAAAATAAATAATTTAATAATATTTTTCAGATTTATCCATACATAAGTTTATTTTTTCATTAAAAAAACAATAACCGATTGGTTACGTAATTATAATCTGAAGTTTGATTAATAAAAAAGAACTATTACTTAAAATAAGTACTGAAATTGTACTAAAAATTATTATCATTTGGAAGTGGAGTAGATGGGGGATCTGTATCGAATAATTGTACATTAAAAAATGTATAGTACGCATTTTTATGAAAAATAGGCACAGATTAACGGCTATTTGATAATCACGAGAATGACACTGTGATTTTATTAAAAGGTTGTCTCACCTAATTTTGGCGGACCTGTGCAAAGTGCGCATTATAATACATCGGCTCGGCATCAGTGGATAGATAGGAATAGAGGGGGAAGGACCCCAAATATTTCTATATGACCATAGAATAGTATTTATTGCACCTGTTAACTGATATTATATTATTATTGTCGAAGAGTGACACACGAAAAACTTAGCATTTCGCCGGAAATCGCCAGTCACCACTGCTTTACTTCAGCTACTCACATTCACACACGGTTGCCATCGAGGATAAAATAAAAACATGAGAAGTCTAGTAGTAGTAGTAGTACAACCGTTCGAATTCTTTATCATCCAACTATAAACGAATAACGGACGTCGTATCCCGCGCTCACGTATGTGTTAAATGTAATATATATATATTATATAAATATTGTCGTCAGCAGTAGCAACAGCAGCAGCTGTCCAAACATACACTTTCCCCGCTCCTCGCGTACACCCCGTTTTGATCGGGGGTCGTGTGCGCGTATACAATAATAATAACATTTAATACGCCGTCGACGTAGCCGGCTGTAAACGACTGAACACCATTGCCGCCGTCCGCACTAGGATAATAATAACAATATAACACGCAGATGATGGTATTATACTTACTCGTCGGAACCGCCTCCGCCGTCCTTTTGTTTTGACGAGCAATAGTTGCCCATGTCGCCGGATTGCGGCCAAAAACACAGTTCTTCCCGGAGACCGAGACACTAACGACGACGAACCGAACACCGTCGCGACCACCGCGGTATCATCGCCGCCGCGTACCGCCTAATTACCAGCTATTATCCGCGACCGCGAGATATTTTTCGATATTATTTTTTTCTTTCTATTTTTTTTCTCCAAAAAACTCTTCTCGTCCGTACTACGCGACAACGATAGTAATTATAAATTTATATCGCATGCATTGAGAAATATAGTCTGAGATGACAATAATTCGTTACGGGGACGACACCGCACTATATGCTATTACTACTACTACATAATAATAATAATAATAATAATAATAATAATAATAATACAGGAGCGCGCGGCGGCGTACAGCGCACGTACTACGAATACACGCGCACTGGTTTTTCCAAAGGATTCGCGCGCACCCTCACCAGCCGGAGAGGATTTGTCGTCTCGTTCGGCGAAGCGACGGTGAGCGCGCGCGACATACACGCACGGAAAACGGCGGCGGGACAACGTTGGTGCGCGCGTCGAGCGCCGACAGCGACGCTCGAAATAGACTAAATACTAAACCTGCCCGCGGCCAAGCCAAACTGCGGCGTTGTTGCCATGAAAAACGCGTCGTCGTAGAATAGCGAGAGTGAATTAGAAAAAATCGCAAAAGAGAAAACGGTCGTGCGTGTCATCATCAGCCAGAATCCCGCGTTCCGTTTTCCTCCAACTACAAATACAAGACGAACACAAAATCGGGAAATATACACCCCCACGCCGTTCTCCAGACGTCACACCGCCCACGAATACACGACCCGTCGTAAACGGTGTGCAGGGACAGGGAGTCACATTGATTATTTCAAACGACGTTGCCAAGTATATCGTCGTGTATTGCCATCCCCTCACGTGGCCCGGCCAAAGAGCTTACACAGCTACGACGATATTTTCGCGAAAACAACGTTTACGTTTTCCCTGATCACAGTTCTCAACTGTATTGAGTAACATTCACACACCTCGTTCACAAACGCGGTGACCGGTTTTCTAAAATTCAAAATATACTGTTCGACTAGAATCACACTGTGTACAGTAGTTCCTTTTTATAATTTTAGGGTTTTCCACTGCATTATTTTGAAATGAATCAGTCGAAAACCATTCAGAGATAAGTGGAACTGATGATATCATTGAAATCACAATGTATAATATTTAATAAACAAATTTATTTATTTATTCATTTTAATATTAATAATCTAATTAATAATATAAGTACAGTATTGGTGATACACCATAAAACAGAGTGTGTTCTCTTATTAATTCATTCAAACACAATATAGGATGGTGAAACCCTCTATTACTCTAGAATAAAAAAAAAATATTTTCGTTTTAAACAATTACATTAAATAATTATTATATATAATAATATACATCGGATAATTATATTTAACACCAATTGAAAATTAAGTTAAATAATAATAATAATAATAAAATTATCAAAGCGCATAAAAATAGTGTAAGTCTTATTAATCAGTGGATTCTGTAAATATTACGTGCTTTAATCAAATTAATTATTTTTAAATTTACTTAATATAATGTCTCAGCTATTTAAAAAAAATATTTGAAGTATCAAATATCAAGTATTACTTCAGAATAAAAAAATTAAGGTTCTAACATATTTATTTTACAAAAAAATGAATAGTATTTTATTCTTCTGTTTAATTTAAATACAATAGTCAACATACAATTTTAAATATCCGCTTATTAATGGTTTTATAGTAGAGAGTGTGGTGAGAGGAGAGGAGATCAAGCTAATGGCCGTACGTGATCGCTTGTGCCACACCATTTATGGTTTTTGATTTGAGCATATCGTTCTCATACGTTTCCACTATTTCTTTGCCAGCTTCGGATATTCTACAAAACAAATTATTTATATAATTTCTGTATCTTACCATATTTAAATCTACCAAGCAACTTTTGTAATAATTTAAAAAACATACTTTTTGGTAGTAATTTTTTTCCCATTTGCAAACCGGGTAGATATTGATGTTCTTTTCACACTACTTCCTCCATTAACGCCATTGCTAGGAAATCCGGCATTTGCCATAGAAAACATACCATCAAATCCAGAACCAAAACCACCTCCAAAACCACCAAATCCAAATGGATTCATCATTGCAGACACTTCTTGATGTCCATGTCCATTGAACCTTTGACCTAATCAAAAAACCAAAAATATATATAACAATATATGATAATGTAATTAAATCGAATATATTAAATTATTAAAATTAAATAACCGATGTATTTACCAGGGAATAAAAGATCTGTTATGTCTGATGTGTTGAAAAATTCTCTGAATACATCTTCGGGATCTCGGAACGAAAAGCTAAAGAAACCAGGTCCAAAGTCTTGACCAAATGGATCATAATGACCAGGATGTCGTTGATTTCTGCGTCGTCCACCATTTCCAGAACCACCATTAATCAAACCATCCTTGCCATATTGGTTATAAATTTTACGTTTTTTATCTAACAAAATAAATTATGAAAATATAATAATCATAAAGATCATGAAAATGTTAGTATTAATGAAAAAAAAAATTATATAAAAATTATTAAACTCGTTAAAAAAAGCGCCACTTCTAAGAGATTACATGCTCCAGCTCCAATGGAATTTATTTTATATACTTAGTAAGGGTTAAAACTGGTAGGGTTATGTTTTGAATGGTTTATTAGATCAACACAACGTAAACTATAATTTTGGGGTTCTACCAAAATAACGATGGAACGGGCTTTCAAAGAAGTTGTAGAAGAACGGTCTGGATGATGCGGACGCTTTTCTTTTACGCTGTTCATCGTACAACTTTCGCTTCACCTCTGTTAGACATAGAGACAATACATATACATGAAGGAATAACCTATTTAATATCCTTATTGCATATTATACATGTTGGTTTCTAAAATCATAAGTGATTTACAATTTTTAGTCAATTCAATATTATGGTCCTTTGTGAAACAATTAGCTCTTAATTATTAGCAGTTGGATGTGTTTGCATTAAGTTATGTTTTAAACATATAGATACTGTTTTTGTAGAGTTTTTTAAAAGCTAATGACCTCATCACATACATAAGAGTAGAGCTGCATATTATATACATTATGAATAGCAACAATATGTGTTTTTAGTACCATCAGATAAGACTTCATAGGCTTCAGAAATTTCTTTGAACATTCTGTTTGCTTGTTCCTGGTTTTCTGGATTTTTATCAGGGTGCCATTTCAATGCCAATTTTCTGTAGCTATAAAAAAAAAGTTAAAAATGTAATTAGTATATATTTTTGTTTAGAAATTGACCATTTTTCTACATACGATTTTTTAATATCATTTATTGAAGCATTTGAAGGAACTCCTAATATGGAATAATAATCTCCAGACATACTGTGAAATGTATTTTCTTGAGTTTATGTTATATATTATGCTCTGAAAATAAAAAAGTATTTTAGTTAAACATATTCAAATGAAATCAGAAGTATAAATTCTTGCAACAACAATAATGTCCATATTGTACTTCAAGAGTGGTGTACACAAGCCCATTAATGTGACTATTAACACAATAAAATCAATCATATTTTTTAGTGATGTATCTTTATGATTAATATTTCATAAAATAACTATAAGCCATTTTATAAAATGTACAACTAATATTTAATGACAAAGTAATAACAATTTTATGTTAATGTGTAATGTCTTTACAAAAATAAATACACTAACATTTGTATTTTAATAAATTAATCACTTATTTTCTAAAAATGTTAACTACTTTACTTTATTTATAGTTATTTTAATTACTTTTAGAAAAATATTTTATTCTTTTGTAAAATCAAATGGTTACAGAACAAAAACTTATATTATTAAACAAACATTAAAAATTTTTAAATAACTAATACTTAAAATATACAAATAATTTTTGATTTTCCAAACCATCAAATAAAATAATTTAAGTATTATGTTAAGTTTTTATCATGAAACATAATAAATAATAATTAGTATTATATCAAACTATACAATACATATTTATCTACTGAGTATGAACAAAAAAAAAATAGAAGTATGTCAGTTGGTTTTATTAATTTTACCTATATTTAAGATATAGAATAAGTGTCTAAAGTTATCTTTTTTATAGACTTTGTTACATATAATAATGGTGAATTATTAATAATAATATTGGTCAATAGTAATCAGTTACTACTAGCAGTACACAATTAAAATAAAAACGTATACATTTGAACTTGAATGAAGAAAAAGGATGACATTTAAAGAAGTTAGAAAACAAAGATCGCAAATAAGAGAGTAAATGAGTAACAATACAATTTTACTAGATAATAATATTATAAAATCTGATGATAGTAAAGCATTCAACTTTATATGAGAATGCACCGGAGAAAGATTATAAGAGGAGTACATTTGTAATTCCAGATAGTAATGAATAAAAAAATACCTAGCAGATTCAAGGGAACCTGATTACATAATTAAATATTCCTCTGAAAAGCAGTGAAGAAATGTGGGTGTATAGGAAAAAACAACTAACAAAATTAGAGGGTGCCATTTTAAGAATATCTAATGAGTTTTAGATTAATATAATTAAATCGAAACTGGTTGTACATTACAAATGCTTAGCACTTATTTATTTATTTTTATAAACAAACTATTTAATTATAAATCATTTCACGAGTATTAACAATTTACTCTAATATTTGTTTTAATTTAAAACTTTATTATTAATTTATATACATTGGAGAGAATAATAACAATGAGAAATGTGCCTCAAACACTGGAAATGGAATCAATATGACAGTGTTTGAGTAATTTACCACGAAACACACAGTCATTGGTTTGGTTCCTGGCACAGTACAAGAAATGCTTGAGGCATAAATCACAGTTTCCTCCTAATAAAAGAAAATAACCATTGAAAAAGACGTCAGGGTCATCTCAATGATATATCCGGAAAAAAAATATATATATAAAAAAAATATTATTAAAAATGTAATGACTGGCGATAAGATGAGCAATGAAAGCAAAAACAGGTAAAAATATCTAGACATAACACCCAGAAGTAGAAAACTTTAAGAAAACATTTAAAATATACTTCATCGGATCGGAACTAGGTAGACTATTCAATACAAACTTATCAGTGAGCTATAAAAAATAATTAAGCCTAGAATACATTATAATAGAACAACCTACAAATACGATTTACTAGTAAAAATAATTTTAATTATTATATTTATAATATTTAGTTAAAATAAATTATAAAAACGTTCACAGTAATACACATAACAAATTGTTCGTTTATTTAAATTTATATAAATATATATATATATATATATATATATATATATATAATCAACACAATAAATTTATATGTATTACAAATACAAACACAAAATAAATTTTGAAACGTATGGCAACAATAATAATTGAATAATTTTGATTTAAGACCTATTGTTATCGATAGCACAGTATTAAATATAAATTTTAAACATATACAGTTCGTTACTTATTATACACACGTTAATATAATATCTACTATATTGAAATGGTTTTGAAAAGTTGAACTAACTGATCGTTTTTAGGTCAAGTATAACATTTGTCACCTTCGTTCTTTATACATTTTTACAATGTAGGCACACGCCAGATGCTAGCTAATTTGTACACGAAACTACGAAAGATACTAAAAACCCTTGCTCGGATTAAATGGTGGTGGTGTGCCGTCATCGCCGGCATTTTATGTATTGTTCGATATTCGAATATTTAAAACATTATGTGTAGTCATTTTTTACGTGCACGCGATTCTTCCTTGTGTAGGTATCGAGCATGCGGATTTTTCCAGTCACCAAACACACGCATTTACAGAAAGCATCATAAACACACGCAAAATATATACCCAGTAGGTGTTAATGTTGGACAATGACCTTGCCGGTCGCTTTCCCATGTAACTCGCATCAAGCGATGAATCACCATACTACAAATTAACCCACCTGGCCGCCGTGGATAACCCGACCATTTTTCGTAGATATATATATATATACACTCACAAAAAATAAAATGATTCAACTGATAATAAATTATGTAATCTATACACGATTTTCATCAGCATCTTTGTCGACGACACGGAAATCGAAACAATCAGTGACGACAGCACACGCTGCAGCCCGCGTACATTGATCCAAAGATTTCAACTTGACGGCGGAAGAGCGGTTTTATATTATACAGCTATCGTGGCACGTATTTAGGTTTGCAAGAAATAGACGAATACCAGTAAAAAACGTTTTTTTCTTTCTATAATAGATTTATCATGTGAGAAACAGGTAGACATTATCTCCGCATAACTCGCAATCACGATTTCGATAGAAATGCAATTTTAATCCACATTCACATATGATCCTCAATATGATATTATATGGACCTGCTTTCACCGCATCAATCTCCGTATATGGTCTACAAGTTTCCGTGTCCTGAGGACGTCATCCGACACAACGTGTGTCAAAAATTGGCGACGAGTACGATTTCTCGTCGCGCAAAATCGCTAAACAATTCGCTGTCCCGCGTATTTTGTGTCGCACTCAATTTCTGCAACCGGCGGAACGCGGTTGCGGCAGCAGGTCATCGCCCAAATGAGAAGAGAACAAACACGAGTGAGCGCGTGCGGGGAATCGTGGAAGAACAATAAACCGCGACACTCGCCACCGACTAAGGACAACCACCTACATTGGTGTATAAAACTTCATTCGATGCGTACACGCCACACACACACATCGATGGTCTTCGAAACACAACACCTTAAACGAGCCTCAACTCTATAATTATTGCATATTAAACATGTTTTTTTTTCAATTTTATCATAATAATATAATACACGTACTCGCTACAAAGGTTAGACTAACAATCGACGTCGTTTTGGGGCAGTGAGAAATATATTGAAAAAATTGTTGAAATCCTGCAAATCCTAATTAATTAATGTATAAAATAATGGCCGTAATAATTTAGCTAGTACTTGTCATTCGAAATAGATTTACGCCTGAGCAGTCAAACCTACACGTTTTATTTGCCAAAACTATTTATCAGTCATCGTCATGTAATGTATTATAATGTGAAGCAATTTTGTTGTTGTAACGTTTTCTCGATCTATTATTTATTAGTTTACTAGAAAAACAAAATCTTGTAAAAATTATAATTTGAATAGATTGCATTCGACAGTCGTCCATAGAATTATCTGTATTACCTATGCAAACTATGAGCAATAATAGAACTTATTTATTCTAAAATATATAGAAACCAAAATTGATGACAATTAGTCATCAGTCATTACTCATTATTAATGTTGCATGAATTACATTCATAATAATAATACAAGCACAACAATTTAAAAAAGTATTGCAATTATATTTTAATTTTTTTATAAGACTTAAAAAAAATAATTAACATATCAAATAAAATCGTTTTAGAGAATTATCAAAACTTGGGTATATAAAAAATTTTAAACAAATTACCTAAAATCTAAATCTGAGACAGTAATGTATAAAACTAAAGATTTACAGCTGATATTTTATTAAAAGACAATAAAATTCTAAAAAAATTCTATTAATACTTAGAATTTATATTTAATTATTACAGATTAACATAATGGAAAATGATCAAGGCTTTTTCAACATTTTTCAACTAGTACAATTTTAATTTTTTTTTTTTAATGTATTTTGTTCAAAGATTTTTAATTAAAAAATAATATATGATGTCATTATAAAAACATAACTAATATAACAGTGTAGTTTACTAAAATACGACACATATACTTATTCTTTCTTGAGAACTAAAACTTAAACAGAATAATAGTGAAAGGATGATTATTTCATTCAACTAAGGCCAATAAATTAAAATACTTTGTACTATTCCCTATTAAGTCAAGTCACAATTATCACAGACCAAATATATGAATATTATACAAAGTATCAAGTAATTTCAACAGATTAATAATATATTAACTTAAAAATATCTTTCCTGCATGTATAAAAACGAAAATATAGCCTTCAACTTGCTACTTATGGGCAACATATGTAAGGTATTTAAATAACCTAAGTTCCAATTGTTAAAAAAAAACACTATGGACAATTTATTTATTATTTCCTTGTAGGTAGTAGACATGATTTAGCCAAGCAATATTTCATGATGAAAAAAGCTAGTAGAGACAATATACATAATTCGACAAGTTATGTTTTGATTCTATACCAACAAAATAAAAATTGGTTTAAAATGAATTTTAATAGGCAATTAATTACATACAATACATAAATTACATAAATACATACAAATATATTAGATCAAAATCTATAATCAATAAATGTAAGTATTTTATAGTTAAGATAACAATAAAAAATGATTTGAGTACCATAAAACACTCAATTTTTAATTTTCAATTAAAAGGACCAATATAAATTGGGTTTAATTCTAAACATTCAAAATAAAATAGGTATATTTAATTGAGTTAAAAAATGTAGATGCAGTGAAATCTATTCTGTTTAATTGGACCCTGAATAAATAATACTAGGACAGGTACTGAGATACATGTCAATCTATATTAGTAGAAAATTGATTGTGATCCTATCAGAAAGAAAGTTTTACACTTTTCAAATAAGCCAACAAATAATTGTTTATTTCCCATTTTTTTAAATTAAATTCTAGAATAATAAAATAATACAATGATTTTATAGATAAGCTTACAAAAACCATTGAATTATTAATAAAAAATAATATTCATGTAGACTATGAATCATAGTTTATATTATTTATTTGAATGATCTGGTTATATAAATATGTTATAATATTAAATATTATAAAATGAGAAATTTAATTCAAACAAAAATAACTATTATTTTATTAAACAATAATTTGAACAAAACATAAATCATAATAAGATAAAAATAAACAAATTACTTATCTCAATTTTTTTTTTTTTTTATTCGACATTATAGGTTTTGCTACAAAGAGTAAATATTATATTATCGTCATAAAAATGAATACATAATTCAAACTATTAAAAGTAACAAATTTATTAATAAAATAAAAACTTTTTAGGCATTTTGACCAATCAAAATCTATAATACATACTTAAATTTTATTAAAGAACAATGAAATAAATTCTGAAATGCAATAAATAAGTTATAATATACAGTAATTATAAGACCTAAAATGTTAACTCTAATAATTTAGTATTAATCTCAATACTGTATAAATTTAAATCAACACTAACAACCAATAGATAATAATTTAAATTAATTTATGATTTAATTATTTATTACTATCAACAGTTATCAAAGCAATTAAAAAGATACAATATTAGATGATCATAATCCAAAAACCAAATTCGTGATAGGAATTTATCATTTGAATTTATTTAAAAACAATCATTTTAATTTAAAACAATAATAAGTAACTAATGTATTAGCTTATTAATAATTAATTTAATATATAGGTAAAAAAAAAAAATTTAATTCAGGATTTTGTATATGTATGAGTTATGCCAGAGTCAAGGGCATTAGATGCCACATTAATTTTTTTTAATTAGAATTTAAAAACACAAATTTAATTTTAATTTGAAAATAACTATTTAATACTGATATACATTGTATATCATCACAATTTATAAAATATATGAGTACCAAATTATTTAAAAAAATTTAATTTAATTTTTTTAATATTTTTGAAAATTTGAAGAAACTAAGTATCAATATGATTTATATTAAGTGTTATTTATTCTTAATATCATATTATAATTTCTCTAAAGCTATATTATAGAATTATAAAAGTAAGTACATAAGTACCAAGTATATAATTGTATTTATCTAAGAGAGTATCGTGCAATTATAATTCTAGAACTATTTTAGAACTATTTCTTTTATTATCAGAAATACACCAACAACTTGGATACATTGTGAAGTAGTTTTTCAAGTAGCAGAACTATTTCAGAATCTAATAAATAAATTATACTACAATTATAGATAATATGATGTTGATAACTATTAATACAGTACATAAAACATATTTTTTCAAATTTCAAAAATATAAGTTATCATTTATTAGTCATTCATACTTACTCTATTCAACAGTAAAAATAAGAAAATATTTTATAATAAATAAAAAATAGGTAAAAAAAATATATTCAAATTAAAATTTAATTTAATTTTCTTAATTTATTGCTGTTTATAAAATAAAAATATAATAATGATGCTAATTATATATTAAGAAAAACCTTTTTCAGACCTTCTACGCACAGAACCTAAAATGATCTTGGAGTTCAATAATTTTAAAATAACTACTAAATGTTATCATTAAATTATAAATTATTTAATATTAATTAAATCATAGAATTAAAACTATAAAACAAACATTTACTATTCATGTAATCATTGTTTTTTATATTAATTATTCAGATTTCAAAAACAGCTAAGAATTTAAGTTTAGAAATATTTTTTCTTATTCTATATATACTAATAGATAGCAGAAGCACAACAAATGTTTCATGCAACAAATCTTTAGGTAAACTATTAGATACTTAAAATTGAAAGATTACAAAACCAATTCAATCATATTTTTAATAAATCTAAAATATATTAAATATCTTGATTAATGATAATTTAATAATTATTGAAGAATATAACATTTACTTAGGTTTCTTTAAATATATCAGGGATGAGCAACTGGCAGCTCTTGTAATTTTTTTATCTAGCTCGTTTAAATCACTTCATAATATTTTTACTTTTATTAGTATTTAATCAAATATTTCACATTGATCGCAAAATGTAGATATTATATTTTTCTCTAATATTGAACTCCAGCTAAATCATTAAATGTCTAAATATAATATATATCCATATTGGCATAGCTATACACATAAATAACTGATTTTATTATATTGGTTCAGTCAAAAAATTAAATTATTAAAAATAAATACTAATTGTCAAATTTAATGATCATTTTTTTCATTTTCCCTTTCTTCATTATAAGCCACCAGATTTAAAAGATCTAAAAATTGGCCTTCTAGTTACTTTGAGTTACCCATCCCTATTACAAAACAATATTCTATGTTCAGAAAAAATGTTGGAAAGTTTGGAAAAAATTACTTAATATAAGACTTCTGCTTCTTTAGTCCACATTATTATCATAAACAGACACGCTTACACATACTTTTGAATGGAAAAAATATTTAATTTGTTGGAAATATTACTCACTGACCTCAGTTAAATGTTTACTTTTTTTTGAAAACCACACAAAAATAAAGTTATTGGATAACTTATAAATGTCCAGATAAAACAGAAATAATTATATGTTTCAACACCTATCTTATTTAATAATAAAAATTAATATCATTACTCACAAAAAAAGATGTTTATTCTAGAAAATCACTAAAAAATAAGTTTATTTCACTTCAATATCGAACTGAAATCCAATTTTAGATGCCCTTGTGGGTCAACAGTAAAATATTAATGTCACAAACACATTGAATGAATAACTGTCTGCAGGAAATAAACTAAAAAGTCCCATAATTTACTGAGCAACCCTTTCATTTATTGACCAAACGTGGGTACACACTACACTGTCAGTTCTATCATGACGCTAATTGTTTTGTATGCATGTATATATGTACACTACTACACATATGTCAAAAAAAAATTTCAAGTTAAACTCACCTTTGATACGTGCCAATTTTTATCTTAGCAATAAAAAAGAACAGTAATTGTGATCCGAAGCAAGAAACGAATTAAAAACAAAAACTATTTATTTAAAATAAAAAATTATAAATTTGTAATTAATGTCAATTTCGACTGTTTGATTAACTTCTCGTTACCCCGAGTCCCGAGATAATGAACACCTCTCAGATAATGTGCACAATAAAACATATGTTCTTCAGTCCATCCATACTCCAAAACAATCCGACTGTACAGTGTACGAGCGTCGAGTAAAAAATGAGTGGAATGACATATGGTTAAAACCATGTGGTTTGATGTCAAAGAGGTTGTACTTATTTTTCCTTGTTTTTAACCGATTTTTAATATTTTCATGACAAAATATCTGTTTAAATGTAAATAAAAGATTCAGTTCAATAATTTGTTGAATATATACCTAAGTCTGATTGTTTTAATTTTAATTCAATATTACCCGTGCACAATAATTTTTCATGTACATATGATAAACATTGAATAAAATTGTTATCATGTTAGTCTAGGCAATGCATATGTAATAATATATGGTATTTTAGTTTTACTTAAGAACAATATTTCTTAAATCGTGGTGAAAACTAAACTTTAAAGACCAATGGCATGAAAGATTTAATTAGTGACCTAATAGTATTAATGGTTAAAAATATCATGAAGAAGTATAGTAAATTTATTTAGGAAACAGATTTAGTCATAACTTACATGCTTTTAAGGAGTTTTGTTAGGCAATTTAACATACTTTTTAAAACTTAAATTGTAAAAATTAATAACTAAATCACATAAAACGCCCGACGCTTCTCTCCATTTTATCCAACTGCACTTAATCCTATGTTTACATCCGTGCCAAAGCCTCCGTCCTTTTGTACAAGTAATCCTAAAAATTTTAAATTTTCGACTTCATCTATCATATCGAAGCTTATTGTCATTGTTCTCATCATCCTCTTGACTTCTTGGTATCTTCCTTCAAAGTAATACTTTATATACTCTGTTTTATTTTCACTAATTCTCAATCATTTCCCTTCTAGTGCTAATCTTCATTCACCCAACCTATTATTAACTTCTTCCAGATTTTCTCCTACTAAAACTATATCATCAGCAAACATCATACATCATGGTATCTCGTCCTGTATCTCTTTTGTAACTTCATCCATTATCACAGAGAACAAATAAGGGCTTAGCCGGTCCCTGATGCACACCAACTCGTCAAAAACATAACAAGTTTAAAACAACCTGGAAAACAAAAATCTGAACACGTCTATTTTAAGATAGTTAAAACTCAAAAAAAACCCTAATTACACAACATATCTTCTGCTGGGTTTTAGAAATATAGATGAATATCAGTGGCATAGTTACGGGGAGGGTGTAAGGAGTTTTCACTCCCCTCACAGATTTTTTTTAATGATATTTGTTGATTATTATTTATTAATATTTATATATTATAGTAAAATATTTTGATTTTAACATGATTAGGTATATGTTAAAAATTGAATAACAAAATAATTTTCATTAAATATGGGACATAATAATAATAACATTTTAAATGTAATATTATTACATAAGACCTCGTTTTAAGATATACTAAGAACACTTAAAAACTTACTCTTAAACACCCCCCCACCCCCCAGAAAAAAATTGTATCTACGCCACTGATGAATATTATTATCTTTAACCATAAGCTTATATGTTACTGCAAAATACTCTCAGCATTTATTAATTTTTGATATCTGTTTAACTATATACCTAATATGATGCAATTATAATCAGTGGCGTAATTATGGGAGGCAAGGGAAGGAAGTGCCCCTCTGACAATCTTTTGAGAGATAAAGGTATAATTTTGCCCCCCCCCCCCCAGATAATCCAACACTACAACTAGCACCTTTTATTAATGAACTCTTATGGATATTATTTAACAATATTTGTACCTAGTACATGCTACCTACAGTTTATATTTATCTAAATCAGTGGTGGGCGAACTTTTTTAATGGGGGGGCCACAAGGTTTAAGAAATTCTAGAGGAGGGCCAGAATTATAGAAAAAATGCATTTGTGTTAAAGCTTTGAATCATAATATTATAAAAACATTACAGCATTACAGACAAATGTTACAAATTACCTTTTACCTTAAATAATAATTAATTTAACTTTTATTCGAAAGCTCAACCATGGTAGGCGTGTGAGACATATGGAATGGTTTTTGATTTTCCATAATATTTTCGAAAGCAGGTTCCAGCTGTGATGAAGCAACTTTCAGCAGTGCGAAAATGTGTTCATTAGTCAATCGGTTTCTGATTGAGTTTTTCCGCAATTTCATGGTCGAAAAAGTTTGTTCGCACACATAAGACGACGCAAACATCGCCATAATTTTCTGGGCGTGAGCAATTATTTTTGGAAATTCGGCTTTCTGCAGTGCTCTATAAAAATCTAGTTTTGTGGATTTCAAGAATAATTGCTTTAAATGGGTACTGCACTGTATTTCAATAATTTCCAACTGCATTTCTGCAGATACATTTTCCGGATCTACATTAAACGGCATCGAGAAAACATCTAGCGATGATTGAATGTTCTTGAAATCTTGAAACCTAGTTTGAAATTCTGTGTGAAGTTTTTTCAACGCCCGACTGAATTCTTTTAGCTTGTTCACACTCACTGGTGATATGGATTTTAAACGCAGAAAGTGAGTTAAATCATTCTTCGCAATGCAGTTATAAAATAGAAAAAGCTGAGTTTTAAATAATTTCAGACAACCCCAAGTCTCATCTAAAAATTGGTTGTTTTAACTGGTGAGGGGAAGAGATGTCAGGGTTTTGGTAATAATAAATATATTATATTGCCCCCCCTAGGTTTTTTTCCAGTTACGCCATTGATTATAATATTATTTACGTATGAAGTAACTGTATTGTTAAATTATTCAGTACTACGCATGTCTGTATAAGGAAGATTTAGCCTAGCATACGGAGAGTAAACAATTGGATTTTCCATCTCCGAAAACTCAGTTGGATTTGATATCCATATATTAGCAATATGGTGTATATTAATAAATAAAACATGTGATAAAAAAAAAACCTACCGTTAAAAGAAAATTGGGCAGGCAAAGTCTTAGTCGATCTACCCCGTAAACACGCCACTAAATAAGTATAAATTAAAAATAGTCTATGCTACTGAATCTTCTTAACAGAGCTATATTCAATGAAAAATAAATAAATCAACTTTATATAATAATATTTATTATTGGATTCAATAACCATAGCTCATAATTTTATGACCTTAAATTATACCTATAAATTATTTGATAATAAAAATTATACTTTATAATCAATGACCATGACTAGTCATTTTATAATCATACATTTACATGTTACCATGTTGTAAGGAATTAAAGAAAAAACTTTCTCACGAGATCTACTTGTAAAATAATTATATTATTAGTAATATGTATATACATATGCATATCCATACATACGAGTATATTGTTATGATTATTATATTATTGCCATATGTATTAATAATATTATCTAACATATTCGATGTAAACAATTATACGTATATCATCTGATTCTAATTCAACGATAAAATGATTTATCATTGAAGTGCTTCAGGTGTTACCGAGATCATGTTTTTTTACGATAGATCCAATCCATTTACAGAGTATGATGATACAGACTTTATACAGCGATTTACAGTGACGTGGCGATGTGGGTAATCGAGAGGTGGCTGCCTCTCATTTTTTTGGTGGGTGGGTCAGGACAGGACATCGGGGGGAAGAGGGGGTTAGTCCCACCAAATATTTTAATGGTCCCGTCAAAATCAAAATTATGTTAGAAATGTTATTCGTTGTTTCTATAATTATCTGTTCGTTTTTTTAAAAATCGTAAAATAATAAATAATAAAAAACTATTTACAATAGCATTAACAATATCATTTAGTTCAGCTACTAACGAAAGGAGTTTCAGTGCAATAATAAAAATAAAAACTTGACTAAGGACATCGCTGGTTCAAGATAGGTTCAGCGACCTTTCAATACTATATATTATAAAAGATATATCGAAAAATATAAAAATCGATGATATTTCGAATATTTTTGCTGATACAAATGGATATTTATCATTAAAATAAAATATTAATTATTTTTAAATATATGTTATTTAATGTTTTTTTAATACAATTTAAACATACCTATATTTTTAATAGTAATAAGTTTTACTTGTGTATGGGAAGGGTGTGAAGACGAAGCCCCTGTGGGTTATTTTACATTGAATTATTATAGTCCCCCCAAAAATTCAACCAAATGTCCGCTTATGGGTCAGGGGCGTATTAAGACTTATTTTTAGGGGTGGGGGCGACTCAAATTTTATCTTTAATTCAGTCTCAAAATTTACAAGTAAAATTGTCAGTAGGTCATATTTAAATCAGGTGAATCTTTAATATTAGTGTTTTAATTTTAATCTAAGGCCGGATCCACTTAGAATTGACTTTTGTGAAGTTCTTTTTTAACACTTGTCTGTGTTTTGAAATTTACATTTTTGTTTTATTTCATTTTTCACTAGGTATCGACCCGACAAAAAACCCAATTCGGTATCACAGCCACGCGTAATTTTATTTCGTTATAAGTCCCCCTTGAATACGCCACTGAGGTGGGTAGGTATCGACAACATATACGAGTACTTGCCTCTAAACATTTTCGAGTTCACCACGCCACTGGTGATTCAGGTACTTGTAAAATATTAGATTTGACTATTTTCTGACCTGCATTAAGACCGAATCTTGGTTTAAAAATGCAGTCTTATAAAGAATACTTGATTTATTTTGTATTTGGAATATATTTTTCAATAAACGATAGTAAATTAGTTTTATTTAAATACTTTACAAGACTGTAAAAATGGTTAAGCACAAATAATAGTCTCTATTTTTATGAACTTCATGCTTGAGTAATGTTATATATGTTTATCAGGTTGTCTAAAACAATGTTGATTGAATTACTGGACATGTTTTAAGATCGTTTTTGTCAAAATACACTATGCAATATATCTCTAATCATTGTAATCAAATAAAATGTGGTAAAATTAATTTGGTAACCATGATTTTCAATAAAATACAAATACTTTATGCAACTCATTTTTTTTTTTTACACGCCATTAAAATATTTACAGACTGGTCTTTATGCAACCCGTTATATGTTTAAAAGTAATAATCGGTAATAGCCACCGATAACGAATGATGAGTGTTCACGTAGTTAATTTTAAAAATAAATTACCTAATGTATGAGTAGTAAATAAGTAGTAATATACTAATATTTGACCGTGCTGCAGTTATCCAAAACGCTTAGAGATCGCAGTTTAAACGTAGCTCCACAAACACCATTGCGTGCAGTCGCCTATAAGTCATAATCTTAGATCATATACAATGGATGGAGTCATACAACTAATTTGTGAAGCCAACATAACAGTAGGACCGCAGTGATATGTGATGCGCGTGACATCTTATCATTAATTTTTGGCGCAGATATTAATTGATTATTGAACAAGATAACGATTAACTATAAAGTATAAGTGTTTGTTAAGTTTCTAAATGCATTATTATAATAATATAATTAATTATATTGTATTTGCTATGTCAAAATGATGATCAATAACAATGTTTTGTAAATTCAGAATTAGTGATACCTAAATTCAATTTTAAGCCAAAAAATAGATTGACATTTAATAAGCATGCGCACATGCGCAGATGTCACCGGTCCCATAGTTATGTTGACTTCTACTCATTCTATAGGTGTGATTTGCGATGATTCTATCCATTGTATACAGTGGCGTACATAAGGTGGGAGGGGGGTCTATTTATAGCAGTTATTTATCTTATTTACCTGTGCAACGAAATAAAAAAGATAACAATTATTTTTGTTAACCCTCCCCCAGAGCAAGATTGAATGTACGCCACTGATTCTATATGATCTAAGGTTATAATATACGTGTTCAGAATAGTTCGGACGACACTGCCGGTCATTTCAATACTGCTCACTGCTCGTGTTTACATGCGTACTCACTATACATACAGTTTTGATATTTGAGCATTGGCGCAACTAGGGGGGGACTTAGGGGGGCTTAGCCCCCTCAAATTTTTTGATTATTTAAAATTCTATGATAATTTAAGCATGGGATAGTGAGATACATACTAAATAATATGAATATATGACGCAGAGAATTATTCAAAAGTAAATTGTATAAATATAAAATATTATTATTATAGTTTATTTTGTAATTCCTACAATCCTACATAATTAATAATAATATTGTTATCTAATAAATGTGACTGACGACGGTGGAATATTGCGGTGGTATTATGTCATATTTTATGTAAAACATATTACATAGGAGTAGGTACATGATTTTTAATAATATAGTATGGTAATAATATTTTATGATAATTTTTATTTAAATTAATAATTATTGTTCTGTGTCTGCGGCAATGGTGGATATGGGGGGTGAAGCCCCTCATAGCTCACATTGACTATATTTATTTATAGGGCTTCAGCCAATATTTTACCCCCCTCCCCATTTTATCCCCCCCCCCCCCCAATATTTTAGACCTAGTTGCGCCAATTTATTTGAGGAAACAAAATTAATATTCGCACACGAAAAAATGTTCGTAATAAATTTTATTATATATTATAGTTATTTAAAAAATGCAATTTTATAAAAGTAATTTTTTAAAAATGTATTAATATATAATTAATTTTCTTCTTTTTATTCATTTTAGTAGGTGCGATCGTCTCGTCGTCCAAGCCATAAGCCGCGACTGCTTATTTGTATTTTTATAATATCATAAAATGACTTATTTTTTTAGAGAAATTTTAACCCCCCTCCCCACACACACACACAAACAATTTGAAAATACGCCACTGTGTAAGAATACATACGATCTATGAGCTATGATCAGGGCTCTGAAGTTGTAGCACTAAAAATGTTACTTTTTAGTTCTTAAATATACACTTAGAAACTCCAAAATATGAGCTATAAATAGCATGAAAAATCAAAAAATATGCATTTAACTTAAAAAAATTATAAATTTATTAGAAAAAAAATTAAATGTTATTTAAAATTACAGTCGAACATGGTTAAATCGAAATTAAAGGGACTGGAAATAAAATTCGAGTTATCCAAATAAAATTTCAATAGGTATATGTATTTTTATAAAATAGTATAATATATTAATTCCTATGTATTTAATATTATATATAATAAAAAATATTTACTATTCATATATTATGTATAATTTTATTTTTAAATTTAAACATTATTTTCATATATAATCTGACATAATTTGAGATTGTTTGATAGGTAGTATAGTTTTGTAAGCGGAAAATTAACGCTCAACGTCGACGGTTGTTGAAGTTGATCGTTCGTTGAGGTCTATTTATTTCCAATAATTCAAATATTTTTAATATTACAACCAAGTAAACCATTATTTTTAACAAAATGTAATATTTCCTATAATATGTGAGAATATGCCCAAAAATAATACTAAAAACCTTACCAAGTTACCAAAATAGCAATAAAAACCGTTAATATGCAAAAAATAGCAAAATTAAATTTCTTGTAAGACATCAGAGAATTGTGAAACATATTTGTATATTACTTCAGATGTTCTATGATGAACCAAGAAAAATATGTATTTAATAGAACTTCCGAGCCCTGGTTATGACCGATCTGTGGACTGTGGACAAAAGGATAAAAGGATAAAATTAAAAATACTGTGGATAAAAAGTAATTTTTAAAATAAATCTTAGTGATCAGTATTAAGTAATAACTTCCAAAATGTCTACTACTATACCATGTATCTAATTCATTAATTACAAATTAATTGTTAATTTCTAGAATAGTATTTAATAAAAAGTTAGTTCGATGTTTTTTTACATCAGTAAATAATTCTAAAATTTTCGTTTGTAAAATTCATAAAATATTGGTAGGTCCGTTAGGACAAAAATTGCTACCAGGGGCAACGTAAAATTTGTCCTCCCACCAAAAAAAAAAAAAACAGAAAAATATATTTTACATTATTGATATTACACAATTGTAGTACTGAATATTTACATTAATATAAAATGAAACTCAGTAATAACCATTATATTATTTAAAACAATTTTTAAAATGACAAAACAACTTGAAAAATAAAAATGTTCAATTAATTTATAACTTCATAATTTTTCTTAAACTTTTTTGCGAGACTGTTTTGATGCAAATGATTTAATAATATCATCGTAATTAATCGTTTAATTGGTTATAATCAGGATTCGTAAGTTCATCCCCTAAAAAATTCCTAAATAAGCATGCATTTATGCACTTAAAATTGACAAATTTTGCTTTGAAATATGCCTTAAAAAGCTAAAAATATAAGCATTTATATGCACTAAATATATAAAATTATGCACGTAAAAAATGCTTACTTAAAAAAATCATAAATAATTTTTGAAATAAAATGAATTATCTATTCACTTTTTTATAGCTATATTTTATTTTTTATAAGTCATAATAATAAATAGATATTCACAACCGGGTTGATGATATTTTGGTACGCAGTGCTGTCGTTAAACTACTCGAGGCCCGTGGGCAAAACAAAATCTTAAGGCTCCTTATTGTGATACGTTTTTGAGTATTTGACCTTTTGATGCCACATAATGTAGTACGAGGCCCCGGGCCTGTTTGCAATGCACACTCTGCACACTGGGTTTTTACGGCACTGTTGGTACGGAATTTATTATTAATGTTGGTTTAGTGACGTTAGTGTTCCAAGCGGTCAAATTATTAACTTACGCGATTGGGCATATTTCGCAAGGTAATAAACAAATAAACAAAAGTGTGGAAGTGTAGAAACGCTTAACGTAAAACCAGTTATTTCACTATCCTATTCGATTTGCTGTTGAACTATTCACTGCTGGCAAATAGCTGTGAGATTGTCAAGACACTTGATATTCATAATCGTTATATATATTATCATCGCGTTTTATTAGTGATTAGCCGTCTTGTTTTTCATTAGTTCATTGTGCTGCGCAGCTTTGAGCCATTAGCACATTCGTTAGTTACATTTTTAAATTTTTAGCGACACGCTCCTCTACAGATTACAATGGTGTTTTTGGATATCGACGAAGGTCTGTACAAGATCTATCTATTCTATTCGTCCGTGTTAGTGCTGAAAGTCTTGGCGATGGCTGTGCTTACGGCCAGGCAACGATTCTCAAAGCTGGTAACTAAACATTATTAATGTTCATGATTAAGTGGATTCACCTAACAGATTAGATATGAGAGTACAGTTTATTAAAAGTTATCTACCTATTATTATTGGCATAGAATATAGGTGATAAAGGAACTGCTGTTATATTTAGGTGTCAGATGCGGTTTTTCAGTATGCTTTCAATATATTACTTACAATTCTAAGATTTAAATACGCTACATTTTTAATATGGATTTTGAACGCTTTTTGTATGTAGTAGCTGGTCTAATATTACTTTTGTACCAATAATTACATTGTTCCTAATATTAACTGTTAATTTTATTTTAATTGATGAAGAAAATATATAAATATAATTATTAAAATATTATTTATTCTAATAATACATTTTATATTGGTAAAAAATTATAGGTATTCCATGTTTATACTTAATATTATTAGGACTGTTTATTAGTTTTGTGTAAAATGTTTACATTAAATATTTGTAAGTACCAAGTATAGTGTACTTATACAAGTACATTTCATTATACCAACTATTTACTATATGAATTTCATCATACACTGGTAATCAACTGTTGTAAGGAAACTGAATTACAAACCCTTGTGAAGTATCATCAGTAGAAAATATTTTTTGTCATGTTATCAGAAAAGATAATTGACATAAATTAGTGGTAATCTTCTTTTTTTTAGTATTCAACCTTTAAGGTTGATTTTGCAATTGGATATTTGCTCTCCACTCTTCTCTGTTCTCAGCTAGCCTTTTCAGTTCAATCATTTGTCAGATCCTTTGCCAAACAAACAAAGTTCTCGGACGTCCTCGGTCTCTTTTACCTTCAATTATCCCTTCTATTATTCTATGGTTTAGTTTATTTTTGTGTCTTAATATATGACCCATCATGTTCCATCGTCTTATTCTCATGGCATTGAGTATCTCTCTTCATACCTCTATTTCACTGAGTATATTTTTGTTGGTATGGTGTTCTATCTAACTCATTCTCAGCATCTTTCTCCAACACCACATTTCAAATCTTTCGAGTATTCGTTGTTCTGCCTTGTTTAATATCCATATTTCGCAACCATAGAGTACCACATACTTTTATGAAATGTTTTCTCATCTTAATACTCATGTTATTGGGGCATAAAAATGTTTTTTTTTCATAAATGCTGACTTTGCCTGTGTGATTCTGGATCTTATTTCTATGATGCATCTTCCGTCTTGGTTGATTATACTGCCTAGGTATTTATAATGTTCTACTTGTTTAAGCAGTTTATTCCCTGTTTGACTATTTATTCTAAAGATTCGTTCTTATTTTTAGCACATCATAACTTAAGTTTTTTGCCAGTTGATAATCTAATGATATTTTTGAAGCACTTTGTCATTTTTTCTAGTGCTTTTTCCAAATCATGCTAATTATTTGTTAGTAGTGTAATATTGTTAGCAAATTTTATGAAGGATATTATTTTGCCACCCACTTTTCTGCCCATATTATTTATGTGCCGTGTTTCTTTTATTTCTTTAATAGGCTGTTCGATATATATATGTTAAATAGAATTGACGATAGTAGACAATTCTGTCTTACACCCTTCCAAATGATTGCTGTCTCTTTTTTGTTTGTTACTTTTATTGTAGCTGATTAGTCTCTGTATAAATTATATATTATCCTTCTATCTCTATAGTCAGCTCCAATTTCTTCCGAAGTATAGAATAGTTCTTTCCATGGTACATTATCAAAAGCCTTTTCCAGATCTATAAACGCTATAAATGTGTTTTTATTAAATTATATTTGTTTTCCTATCAATATTAAGCTTAAAATTGCCTCTCTAGTATCTTTGTTCTTTCTGAACCAGGATTGATCATCCCTTAACTCTTTTTCTACTTTATTCTCGATTCGGGTCAAGTGATAATCTATGATTTATTATTACTAATTATTTTAGCTAATTGATAGCATGTGTTCAAAGTACTGAAGAGTAATTATTTTCAAATTTATATTTGATTATTTTTTACTGGATTTTTCAAGAACAAATATACTAGCAGTCAGTGGCGTAAATTGTATCCAATTTCTGGTGATACAGAGGTATATTCTCAACTTATAATTTCCAACACACCAATTTTTCAATTTCCTAAGTAAAATTCTTCCCAATAAACTATATAATTTCCCATATATTTCTTTAAATAACAAATAAATTTTGAATTATTTTAGCATTAAAACCTTTATTATTATAATATTAATAATAAAAAAAAAAAAAAACAATCAAATTTTGTTTTTCAGTATGCTGATTTCCTTGGCTTTTGAAAATAATATAGGTATACAAATTTCAATAATTTTCTGGTAGTGCAAAACCATATCTTTGCACCACCACATTTTAGATGTGGTGTTGCAAGTGCCACATTTGCACCACCCAGTTTACGCCACTGCTACCAGTAATCAACCAGTTTTCTTATATTTTGATCTTTATTTAAATATACCAATTATCTTTTGTCAAAAAAAATTTTATTTTTATTTTGAAGTCTTTATTAAGTATATTAATCACTGAAGAAAGCAATGTAGTTTATTTTTTTTGTATATGATACTATAAAAAATTACCTATAGAATTATAGTGCATATTGAATGTAAGAAAAAGTCAATAAAATTAAAATAAGATCTACAAGACTAAATTGTATTTTTTTTCCCATACTGTATATACATATAGGTCTAGCTTAAGTGTTTAATCACACCTAGACAAACTTAGTTTTTGCTGTCCTTTACATGTAAATTCTACATCAATTTTTTTTTTTTTTACATAAGCAATACTCAGACTTAATTCTAAGTTAATTATATTTATTTATATAAAATTAACAATTGATTATATCAATATATTTGTAGACAAGTATGCCTCTACCAATTTTAATAAAATAAAACAATTTACATTCTTATTTTTTACTATACATAATTTTATTTGAGTAGATATTAGAAATTTATATATATATTCACATGGTATTTTATACAATATATTAGTACAAATTATATAACATAATAATTCTATGAATCTTATAAATATAGTAGAATTTGATTTTAGGAACACAGATAATTGATACAAATGCGTTATTCAAACAAAATGTCAAGGGATGGATTGGCTGTTTATTAAAACATTGTTAATCAATCAGGTTATTTGAAACAATATTTGAGCAATATTATTCTTACAAAACCTTGATCATCAAATTAATTGACGCAAAACAACAGACAACGATAAACGCAAATTTTTATTAGTATATACATTTTTTTTTTCATAGTAGATAATTTTTTTTGAATTATACATTTTTTCATAATAAATAAAACCAATTGGTTAATTGACACATTTCACCTTGGTTCAAAAATGTTCCTAATAAGCGGCTTCTACTGTATATTGCTTAGTTTTATTTTGAGTTTATAGGATTTTAACTTTTTATAAATTACATAGTGAATATGAACAATAAAAACTATTATATATGAATAAAATCTTATTTTTACTTAATTACAATTATCATATAAATCACCTATAAATATCTTTAGTATAATAAAGCTGTTATTAATATTTAATTTTTTAATAGGTATTTGCTAACCCTGAAGACACAATATTGAATAAACGGTCAAAAGTTAGATTTGATGATGTTGATGTTGAAAGAGTTAGAAGGTAAATATCTATAATATTGTAATATATTGTTTAAATTAGTCTAAGTTTGGTTATGTGGATGATTTTTGATCAAATGAACATGAAAATAATTGCTAAGGCAATAAAATAAAATAATATTTAAAGATTCATATTAATATAATTCAAATTTAATCTAGTATTCAAGTGAGTATAATAGATTTTGCACAAAACTTCCACAAAAACCTAGTTTATGACCTATAGTTTAAAGTATAGAATTAACCATTTATGGAAATGTTTAATTTGAATTTTTATTTCTAGGGCTCATCTCAACGATCTAGAAAACATTCCGTTCTTCATAATTGCTTGTTTTGGATACTTACAAACTAATCCAAATTTCTTCATTGCTGCTTGTTTAATAAGAATATTCGTAGCTAGTAGAATAATTCATACAATAGTCTATGCTGTGGTTGTTTTACCACAACCAGCAAGAGGTATAGCCTGGGGAGTTGGATATGCAATTACCATTTATATGGCTGTTCAAGTTCTTTTAAATTTTGTATAACAATTCTAAAAATAAAATTTTTTTAAAATTTAGTAATATTATTTTATTTTGTTTGTAAGATTGTCAAAACAATTTCATAGAATAGCTGATTACATATAGGTTCCAACAAATTATAGTATTTAAAAAAAGTAATTATGTAATTGATTATTAAATATAAATGTTTTGAATGAAAAGTAGATCAGTGGAAAATTGATAGACATCAAAAATATTTATTTTCCAAAAATAGTGTCCATCTATTGGTATCCTTGTAAATGCACTCATTGTTGAAGTATCAAAATTAAACTATCCATTACACAACTATGCCATCATTTCTCCTGAAATAAATTAATTCATATCAATTTTAGTTCATGTTAGATTTTTTTTTGAAAACCTGAAATTTAAGATATTCAAAAAAAAAAAAAATCAGGAGCTAAAATTAGGTCCAAGGAATGTGGTGCTTATAAAATATTATACCTTCTTATTAATCAACTAGGAAAGTTGCCCTGTAACAAAATCATAACTCAATATATAGATTTTCTCATGTAGTCAAATTTTCTAATTTAATTCTAAATTAATCGGACAAATCCTACTGTATTATATTTTGCTATTTGTCTGCTGAATCTTGTTCAATTTATACAAATTAGAATATTAATTTAGTATTAACTTACATAAATTATAGCTTAGATAATGATAAATGAAAAGGAAATAATAAAAAATAGATTTTAAATTATAATAACATAAAAAACTTTTGAAATATGACAAATCCTATATTGGTGATATGGAACTAGGAACTATGATGCTCACTAAAATGGTGTGTTTAGGTTGCTTAATCAATAAATGGCTTTATGTAGTTTTGCTATTTTCCCTTTACATTTATTAATTGGACACTCCCACATTATATTTGATTGTTCGTTTCCATAGGAGCAATAGGAGGATTGTTCCATTCCTCATTTATGTAGTAAGTACTTTTACATCTACCTTTTTCAGTTCTTACTTTATTCAAAGTTTACCATAATTTCCGTGGAAGATTAAACCTAGGGATTTTTGTTTCTGTGTTTTTAATTAAGGTGACTCCTCGCACTCTCGATTCCTTCTACCGTGTTTTTCATGTTTCCGATAAAGCTTCTACTCAAAATATGTCTCGTATTGGATATAACAATTCCAATGGAATATTAATTAGTTGACTATATATAGGGTTACCATACGTCTGGACAGTCCGGATTTTTAAAAGATAATCGTTTAAAATGGTTATATTGATACAAAATGTTATATCAGGTGACAGATTTTCGTGTTTACTCTGTATAAATGTACAATATGTAATTATTTTTTTTTTATATTTCATATTTGTATTGTTTTAACATATTTAACCTAATAACTCTTATGTAGACATTTTATTCATAAATCTAATTTAAATTGTATTAATGAAATAACAATATCGTTTACTATCAATTTTTAGCCCCCCCTCCAGTGAAACGGAACTGATGTCCGAATTTGGTCAAAAAATATTATGGTAACCCTAACTATATAGGACCATATATTTTTACAAATTGTGACATTAACGACAAATCCATTTTTAACTACATTTTGATTAATATATTTTAACTCAAATGTTTATAAAAATTAAGTAGATTATATTTAATCAAATTTATCAATTTCTTCCTCTTGATAATTACATTTTCAAAAAATGTGGGTCTTTGTTAACTCGGTACTTTAGAACAGAATATATGAAACCATATATTCCGTGCTTATAGTCCCTCCCCCAAATGTAAGCTCCAGTTGCCCTCATGATTGTGACTTGAAAGCCACACCAAATAATACCTTAAAATAAATAACGCCTATTAATTGACGAATAGGCAATACAATGATGAGTATAGTGATGTATGTAATCTGTCTTCATCCTATCTAAACTCAATAATTATGTTTTCTTTATCAATGAAGTTCGTAAATAATGGTGTTGATATTTGATACTACAAATTAAATAAAACTTTATAATGAGTTTTTATAAAGTTAAATTTAATCTGTGCTGTTTAAAATCAATGTTACTATTTATGCACTTTATTGAACAAGAAAATAGTATAAAACAGTATTTGTGAAACCATAACAATTAAAAATTAAACAAAATTGACTATATATTGTAGTATTATGATTAATATTTTAAATAATACATCTAAAATATAATTTCGTAAGAGTAAACAATTTAGACGTATTTCAGTGTTACAACAGTAATAAGCACATTACTTATTGACCAACGATTTTTTTAAATTATACGATAAAACTGTAATGTATAAATTCTTCATGCCTTATGTAATATCAGGTTATAATTCTTACGTCGCATATTATTTTGCAATGCATTGTAAACATTACTCATTAGGCACTAGACCTAAGGTCGTGATGTGTACATAATTGTATGAACTTTACTTGATAAATGTATTTTGTCAAATAAGAAACTAGTCGTACATATGCGCATATTAATTCAAACTAGTTGGAGGAAGAATTGTTATTGATCAGGCTCATTGATTATCTATGTTTTATGGGATTTCATTAATTTTTTTTAATGACTTTTTGTTATCATTTCGTTTAGTATATTATAGAGCATTGTTTTAAGATTGACAAAACAAATGTTGTACACAAAGGAAACAATTAAAATCGCTGTATCAAGTACCTATATATTTATTTTTATTCTGACATCGAGAAGTAGCCTAGTGAAATATTTAAAATCTTTTTTGTATAGGGTATATAATTATTATGAGGAAACTAATTATCTCGAATTTTCGAGGTTTAATCCTATTGCGATTTGTGATCATAACATATGTTGAATGAATATTAATTACATATTTGTGTTTCGTAATGATTAGAGGAGAAAATCCCTTGATTTTTATGCTGAGGATCTCTGGTCTTTTAAGACGTTCTGAAAGATTTGCAGATTTATATGACGGATAATAACTGATTTAACAGCCATTATTATTACGTAATAAATTTGTGTTAAATACATGTGGTTTTACACTCTTACATTTTAATACTGACAAAATAATGAATTAATATAATATGCCATTGAGAAAAAAAAAGTTGAAAGCTGCTCTAGAATTGATGGTTGGGTACCATAAATTATAACTCTAAAAGGAAAACGAGGCGTACATGGGTAAAAATTGGTTCGTTAAAAGGGACTTATTTAATCATATGTCGTTATTACAAGAGTTTAACGAAAAAAATAATAATAAGAATAATTATTATCAATAAATTAAAAATGTATTATCATTATAAAATTGGATCTGGTTTTCGATCATGTACAAATATCCGTGGCCCGTGACATTTTGACTGTTAGTTCGTGTGTTATCATTCGGGACTTTGAACGATATGATAAGATAAGTTTTGAAATTCATTTTTTCATCGATTTTATTTTTCTTGTGTCGCGCGGGATGAAAATCGTCCGCGATCCCGGCTTCCGTCGCCGTTGAACCTGAGGTCGTCGTGTTATTCGTATGCAACGTGTAAACAACAGTACGACACGTCGACACACCGAAACATCGTCGTCTGCGGTTAACATCTAGCATTACAGTGTAATCCCGTACGTCGGCGTGTTGGCTTGTGCGATCAAACGTAGTAATCGGAACGAGTACCGCAGTGATGAGCAATAAAGTCGATAATCCCGTGAGGGTTTGGTGCGATGGTTGGTGAGTGTTTTTATTTTTATTGCTGTTGCTGTGGTTTTTATAATTCTAACGTTTTATATTTTTAAATATTTTTCTTAAGTTTCGACATGGTACATTTCGGCCATGCGAATTCCTTGCGACAAGCCAAGGCTTTGGGCCATTACCTGGTCGTTGGTATACACACCGATGAAGAAATCACGAAGCATAAGGGTCCACCGGTTTTCACAGAACAAGAGAGGTAATTTATATTGTGTTGTGGAATTATTGTTTATTGACTTATATAGGCAGTTACAATTTAATTGGAATTTGTATGCCTTATTGTGCCAAGTAGATTGTATCCAATTTAGTTTTCACATCTTCCTATGGTATTACCACTATGTCAACATTCATTAGGTTATCTTAATTTATGATTAGGTGTATAATTATATTATATAATTTTATCAGTTTCAGATTTATGATGGGAACTTTTTTTTAATATCATAATTAAGAGATTTTTTTTTATATGGAAATAAATTATTACTATACAATTTAAAATTCATATACTGTATATTATTCTATATCTTGAATTAATATTTCTGTGAAAAATTTTAATGTGAGAATATAATAAAAAGTTTTTTAATTACATAGATTTAATGAAAAATAAGTATATTTTTGTTTTGTTTAAATTAAAAATTCAAACTTAAGTTAAAAGTTAAACTATGGAAATCTTCGATTTGTATGAAATGCATGTAACTGTCAGAAAATATATTTAAAATAGTTGTTGTTTGTGATATTCATTAACAACTGACATAAATTGCTGGTGGTGAAACATAATTGGATATTAAGATTAAATATCGTAATTAGAATAATGATCTATAATTTAATGGATTATAAATTAAAGTAAAATTTCTATTATGCTATTATTTTATAAATTATATAACTCAGTTTATTCTTCCAATTATTTTGTCCAAAATACTTATAGTATTTTTAATGGAAAAAATACCAATACAGACATCCATCTACTTATTATATTCTAGAGTTAACTAATCACTGACTATTATATTTAGTGATGCAATTGTATAGTTAGGCTCACAAATATTCACTACTTATGAAGATAAAGTTTTCATTATTCATAAAGAACCATCTTATTTAAACATATTGATGGTAATTAGAAATCTTTTGTATGAAACTCAAATATAAAAATCTATTTACATAATGAAACAAGTATTTATTGTTTTACATTTTATTGTTTTAATCCAGATTAATAATAATATGATTTTCAAATTTACAAGCAATTTGAATGTAATTTTCTTAAAAAAATATGCCAACAATTATATCATTATCATTTAAAAATTATATATTATTTCATTTAAATTATGTAGGTTTGAAAAATATTTTATGCATTCTATAAAAATATTGAAAATGTTGAACATAATTTTATAACTATAAACAATGTAATTTTACACTTGAACTATTAATAATTTTAAGATTTTTAAATATTTACATTTTTTATAATTATATTACACTCGAGTTAATATTAAAAATTTACTTACCACATTACTATATTATTAATATTGTTTTATTATAGATAATATAATATAATTTGTTTTTTTTTTAATTTCTAAGAATACCTTATGTTTAGACCTAGTTATTTTCTTCACCTGTAAAGTTAATATCTGGCATTTGCTAAATTTATTTTAAAAATATTTTGTTAACTAAACTTAACATATGTGTAAGACTAGGTACAATAAATATTGGTTGTGTGTTTTTTTTAATAATTTTTTTCCAATTTTTATTTTCATATAAAATTTTTTGTTATTTTTCCATGTAATATATCATGTCGTTCATTAGCTATAATTTATGAATTATATTTTTCGAATAATTTTAGGTACAAGATGGTAAAAGCTATTAAATGGGTTGATGAAGTAGTAGAAGGTGCTCCTTATGTTACAAATCTTGAAACTTTAAATCAACACAATTGTGACTTTTGTGTTCATGGAGGTTAATATTTAAATATTTAATTTTGTTCTTATTTATACAATATATAAAAAAAGTATGAAAAATTAATTGTATATTTTTTAGATGATATCACAGTTACAGCTGATGGAGTTGATACTTATCATCTTGTCAAAAAAGCTAACAGATACAAGTATATAGTTAATTTTATTTATAATTATAAATATCAAATATTTGTATTTATCTAGGGAAGTAAAACGGACTGAAGGAATTTCCACCACTGACGTAGTTGGTCGCATGTTGTTCATGACAAGACAGCATTTCTACAAAGGAGATAAAGAATACACTGTGGAAAAAGAACATTCATCGGTGATGGGTCAGGATAAGGCAGCTAGAAGTCCATGGACTGGATGTTCACAATTTTTACCTACTACTAAAAAAATTATTCAGTTCAGTGAAGGCACAGAACCTAAAGTAATAGTGATAAAATACTTTAATTTATTTCATTTTTTATTATATAATTTTTTATCATGCATTTCAGCCTACTGATAGGGTAGTATATGTTGCTGGAGCTTTTGATATTTTTCATGTTGGTCATTTAGACTTTTTAGAAAAAGCTCATCAGTATGGGGATTTTCTTATCGTCGGCTTACATACTGATCCTATAGTTAACCAGTATAAAGGCTTGAACTATCCTATAATGAATTTACATGAACGAGTCTTAAGTGTTCTTGCTTGCAAAGTAATATTTTTATTTGATGATTTTTTTTTATTTTTATTCAATTAATTTCTTGTGTTTTTCAGTATGTATCGGAAGTTGTTATTGGAGCACCATATAGTGTAACATCTGATTTAATGAAACATTTTAATGTAGATGTAGTGTGTCATGGTAAAACACCAGTGAAAATGGATATTAATGGTGAAGATCCATATGCGATTCCAAAAGCAATGAATAAATTTGTGATTGTAGATTCAGAAAATAGTATGACTACAGAAAAAATTGTGGACCGTATTATAAGAAATAGGTAAAAAATAATAATAAATAATATTGATTTTCTAATACAGAGATATATTATTTTTAAATTATACATAAATTATTAGTATTTCTTATTTTTCTTTGTTCTATATTGGTTTATAATATAAACTTTGTTTGTTAACTATTAAAAAGTATCAATATCGCTCCTATAGTTTTAATTTAAAAAATTATATTTAATTTAATGGTGATCTGTGATAACTTTAACAATTATAATTAATTATAAAACCTTAATTATTATTGTTATCATAATAGCCCTGGAAAAATAAAACATTTTTATTTGTTATTTTGATCATTAAAGAATTTTAATGTTGATATAATTAATAATTAATATTTTAAGTCTTTTTAAAATTAAAAATTTTATTGATTAAAATGAATATACTTACTTATATATTTAAAAAATATATACAAAGATATAACATAGAAATCCATATATTTTCTATTTTCTATGTATCAATCAATCTCCTGGTATACTAAGAATTTTGAAAATAGATTTGAATTTAATGTGGAGTATCTTTGAGATTAAATTTTCTACTTTATTTTTTTGATGCTGTTTGTTATCAATTGTAATTCTGTGATTTTTCGATAAAAATGTTTTTTAATTTTTTTTAGACTAGAATTTGAAGCTAGAAATTTTAAAAAGGAAGCTAAAGAAATGGCAATTATCAAAGAAATGGAAAAAGTGAAATTAGAATCATGCTAGTATCTTGTGATATTTTTTATTTCAATTATAAATTGTGTTGTTAATAAATAATACAATTGATTATATTTTAATACATTCAATCAATTTTAGATTCATGGTATTACGAATCAAATCATTGATTTATTTCTTCTTTATGTGTCTATATTTATTGTTTGATTTTTATTTACCATAATTGTTATTATTATTATTATTATTTATATTATTTGTAGTGGTAAATTTTACCATACTCCATTAATTATTTTGTATTATTTTTAAAATAATTTAATTCAATAGTACCTATTACACATCTGAATATTGTGAGCCTAAATTAGGTTTTTAAAGTTCATCATTAATTTAATATTATGTAGTTGGTGATGGACATACTTGGTATTTGAACATATTTTTGTTAAAAAAACTATTTCATCACATAGTGCCAAAAACAAGACACATAATCGTATATTAAAAAAATCCATTATTCAATCAATATATCTTATTTTAATTTTAATAATTTAACTAACGATAATTATATATTTATAATAATTAGAGAAACGTAATAGCTAGTTCAATTTTTAATTACAAGAATGAATGTGATGAATTTTGACTACACTTTTATTTAATGAATTTTAAAATGTATTTAGAACAGAAATATGTTTGTAATATTTGTACTTATGTTTTATCTTAACAACAGTGTGTATATTTCTTTTTTTTGGCTACTGACTACTTAAGAAAGCTCATTTGCTTCAAAAAGTATATTCAGAATCGTTATATTATTGCATAGTTATTGTGTCTACCATTAAATTTATTACTGAAAATATAAATACGTAACAACAAGTAGTATTTCTAATCAATGAACATAAATTCTTATATTTTTATTTAAATAAGTATGTATTATAATATAGATTATTTATAGACACAGTATTAAATATTTTCTTTAGTATTTCATTGTGTACTTTTTATATGTTAAAATTTAATAAACAAAACAATTTTAATATATTTTCATATATTTATTTATTTTATAAATAGTTCAAATACAGAAATTATCACTTGATCATAAGTTGAGTGTTTTTTTTGCATGTTAGTATAGTTTTCAGTTTCATATACCTAAACATTCATTTATAAAAATATTATACTTCATACTTTCATAGTAAGTAAAATATAATACATTAACAATTGTTTAACTTGTATTTTATACCTTGTATACCATTAATTACGAATTTCAGTATATATTTTATATGGAGGAAGAAATTATAAAGCAACAATTGAGAAGAAGCCAAGAGGTAGATACATGAATTGATGAAAATACTAAGTAAAAGAGTACCTTTATAAAACACATAAGCATGAAGGACTGAGAGAGGAACATGTTTATGTAGAAATTAGGAGGATTTTTGTACCAACCTCAAAGGCTTTTGATCTATGTTGAATCAACTTTTGCGCAAAATGCATCTTTTATCTAGAAATAGATTTTTATATTATAAAATAAATTATGAAATTATAATGCATATATATGAGATATATAACTGGATTTAAGGAAATTGAACTTATTAAAAATTATTTTGTCTTTTCCTTTGCCCACCACAGCTTGATTTGAATGATTCTTACTAATTATATAAATAAATCTGTAGATTGGTACAAGAAGGGTCAATACCTCATTTTATGTAATTGAGATTATTGGGCTAATCTTATTTTAGTTAAACACAAAATGAGTCTTATAATATATATAAAAAAAAAACTTTATATTATACTATTTAATATAATAATTATACATAATTTAATATAATATAAGTATTTATACTTAATTTTATTAAGTATAATTATTTTTTGAATTCCTTCATAAAATTTAAAACTGTTATGTAAAAATTTGCTAATATTTTATTCCCGAACATTTTTATAATATGATATCCCTTCTTGCACCAAGCCACATAAATAATGTAATCCTTACCAAAAAAGATTTTTATGCACCTAACCATGTAACTTTCAGAATGAAAATCGGAAAATTCCAAGCACGGATGAAATTAAAAATGTTTACTTGACTAGGTCGACTATTTTTTATCTATAAAAAAAAAAGTTTATGCTAAACTGGTATACTTTCATTGGAATCCAAAATGTTTATTTTAATGAATAATTTATTAGATTATTATCATTGTGAAAAAGTAATACAAATTTTCAACCAGTGTTCACCCTTGTTTTTGCTTATTAATCGCTTATTTAATCATGTAATCGTGTATTTTTTCATTAATATTGTCATATTTTTTAGTGGTACCTTTTTTACTTTGTGGTCTTAACAAAACGAAAAAAACTTGCTTTTGTTTGTTCCATCACTGCACGCCTCCATTAAAATATACTATCGTTATGTTATAGAAGAATATACCATAGGACATCGGATGTTTGTCTCTCGTTTCTGAAGCGGAAACACCTGAGTATACACTCATGCCTTAGACTACGAAAGATTAGTTAGTCGTCCAATACGTGTGATCCGCCATAATCATGAATCATCCAACCCGACCTCGACCGAGTTAGTGTTGCAACAAACTTTCAATCAGCTCAACCGTATCCAGTGTCAATGACCACATTATCAACTATTTTCCGTCATAGTTTCATTAGGAAAAGCCGTATTATACATTTTAGTCGCTTGAGTAAATTTTTTCCATTATCGTTTTCCTTGTAGCAAATGAAGCCCGATGATGCAGTTATTGTATTTTCGTACATTATTTTAGTCCGCATTTCCTTTGACGAAGTGCATAAATTAATCAAACTAAAGTATCACGTGCGATAATTCACTATTAGTAAAAACGGTGACGGATGTCTAGTGACTAGTGGAATCCCTAGGATCAGTGGTAGCGCGAAATTTATTTTCCAATGAAGCAGTTACGAGTATCGAGTACCCACACCATTAAATATATTGAATTTTATTAAAATAAAGGGGTCCAAACAAAATATTTTATAATAATATTTAATGTCAAATGTGTAAATTATGTATTAAACTTTTCTGTTGCACAAAATCACCTACCCACTCTATTACAATCATAAAGCAACTGCTTCAATGAAATCCGCATTGCGCCGCCACTGCTTAAGATACAGTAGACTAGACTATTTCTGCACTAGATAATCTTAAGTATAAACTTTTTTTTTACATTTCTTATATAATGTATATTTGAGATAGAACATAAGTTGAATTTAAAATCTTTCGATCACTAAACCTAATCGCAAAAAAGGTTCTCTACTTCATATTTAGCGTCAATGTGATGGTGATTGACAAAGTTGAAGACAGTATCGGCCCTTAAGAGGCCGTGCAGTGTGGTCACATCGGCCCCCCTCATACTACGAATAACGAATATCTTAATCTATAAATAATCTCATAATAATATTGTCACCGGAATAGTGTTGTTTATTTTTATTATTGACAAAAATTAAAACAATATCAAAGATCACAAAGTTTATAAAGTTATATAAAAATAAAGTAAATAAAATAAATATAAGTGAGTCCCGTAATATTCTGCACCGGGCCGGATCGGGGAGATTTTTCAAAATTCCGTTAAAATAGAATATTTTCTTCGCTGCACCATCGTTGTAATTTAATTAAAAAAAAAAAAAAATAAGTTCACGTACACAATTAATTTATACGCTTGGTGCGGTGTGCTAGATTATACGAAGAGTCATGCTAAAAATAATAATGCACTTGCGCCGCGTAATAGTAATTTTTTTCCACATCCTGTCCACATGCGTTCTCCGCAAATTACTTGCAGTCAGCTGTCTGCACCATCAGGGTCTTCTTTCCTTTCAGTAAACCGGTGATTAATAATAATATCATGTCATCGGATATATATACTGTTATGTATGCTCAAGAGGAAAAAATCGGATATACATAATATTAAACCTAAACATTGTACGTAGGTATAGGTAGTACGTTTATGGTACCGACCCGAAAACGCCGATGTGTCGGTATAAATTATAAAACAGTTGGCATAGTTGATATGAATGTATATTTATGTATTATAAGATAGCTTAAAGTCGCTACCGCGAAAATAGTTCGTATTTTGCATTTTTTACCTTAATTAATAATGGTGGAATTGTATTTAAATTCAAAAAAGGTGATATTTCTTCCATTATAATAAATCTAATGTTGTTTTTTTTTTCTATTGACTTATTCATTTCAATCAGGATGTATTATAAAATGTTTATAATATTTTTCAATAAAATTGTGATAATAAAAAAAAAACATGTAAATTAAAATAGTTCACATTCACGCGCCAGCAGTCGTTATGGACACACGTAGTCTTAATTGATATCTATTTAATTAAGTTATTATACAATATTGCATGCTCACTAAACCACATACGACGTCTCCTATCGGCAGACCGTCGCAAGTGGTCTTCAAATATAATTAGGCACAATGCCGAAATCGCTATCAAACAATCATCATAAGAACCGTATACAGAGCGATTTAAGCGACGTATTCAGAAATAATTCCGACATGGAAATAGAAAAAGGCGACTTCAACAATTTCAAAGTCAACAACCCCAAGAAAATACTCAAACGCGCATTTCTCACTCGTCAAACTTCACCCCACCAGAAACAAATAAAAACAAACAGGGAAAGTTTGTTTCCAAATGCACGCAGAAGTACCCCAAGGAAATTACTTATCATCAGACTTATACAACATCTACACAGCCGACATTCCCAACTATGAAAAGACATTATTAGTTACTTACACTGACGACTCGGCAATTTTTTTATCGCACCCAGACCTCGCAACAGCATATCTAAACCTTAAAATCCATTTAGACAATATTTCTAAATTGTCCTCCAAGTGGAGAATCAAAATCAATTCTGACAAGTTCTTCCATATCCCTTTCATTCTAAGACAAGGTGTTTCACCCGCAATCTACTTCCAAAACAACAAAATTCCAACTAAAACTCAAACCAAATATTTAGGTGTAATATTAGATAAACGTTTAAGATGGGGTCCACACCTAAAATACATAAGAAAGCTTCTTAACAGTAGATTCCACCTACTACGCCCGATTATCAAGTCCAAACTCTCAATTAACAACAAACTTCTAATATACAAATCAATGCTAAGACTCATATGAGCTTACGGGATTCAAATATGGGGACGTGTCAAGCTTTCCCAAATAAGAACCATCCAGGCTTTCCAATCAATCTCTCTACAACAAATAACATCCGCACCATGG